TATATATATATTTTTACAATCAATTGAATTAAATTTCATGCCAATGAAAATATAAAATATTAGAATTCTCTAACTTTTAGGAAAGACAATTTCAGATTGTTTATATGACATTATTTGTATCAGGAATGTTCAGATTCACTCAACTGAGATGTCTAACGATGTGATGTAATTTCCCACAGGAACAATCTCGAAAGTACATACATCCCGTAAAAATCTAATTGGAAAAGGAAACGTATATAGGCCAGTTGAATTCGGTAAAACTTTTCAAATAAAATCAAACGAAAAGAATATTTTTTTTTAAAATTAATAAGAATGTATTTCTTAAGAGAAAAAAAAACTAACCTGCTGATTTATGAAGTGAATTTTTATTTTGTAAAATAATTTATATGCGTACAATAAATTTTATAAGTAAAAATAGAAATAATTTTTACTTTCCCGGCTATTATATATAAAAAGAAAATTATGACGATCGGTTAAATAAAAAAGATCCACGAAAAATATTTAGATTTTTGGACTTAGAGGACTTTGAAACGTCGAGAAATGCAAAAAAAGTTGTGGTATTTCCGTATGTCTGGGGGGGAAAAACGATTTTCTTCACTCAGTTTGAAGCTTAATAACTCCTGTGCGTTTTGTCGAAAATATCTGAAATTTTATATGGAGGTTTGGATATTTGTGTGATTAATGCTGTTAAATTTTGGTGATTAAAGGTCGAGGGAGTGGAAAGATAGAGGGGGGGTCGTGTGTCATATCTCGAGTTAGGTCTGACTTAATGACAATTTTACTCGTTATTTGCATTTATAATTTTTTATGAAACTCATCTCTATCCTAAAATTATGTTTTTTACCATTTTATAATAATTAATAATATAAAAAGTTATTAAAATATTATAACAGATGGCACCACACAAGGTGTTAACTTTATTGCCGGGAAAGTTACCCAACTCGTTGGTGAGTTGTGTGTTAATGAATTATAAATTAGTAAAACTTTATGACTATTAACAGTATGTTATTAAAAATATTAGCAAGGCCACAATGGGGAGTATCTACGAAAAAAACCCTGTTAACTTGAAAATTCTTTGAAAAGTAATTTGAGAAGAATGTTTAAAATTAATTTTATATAGTTTTACGTTAAAAATAGTATATAAAATGAATGTATATTTATTGTATGAGCATATTCATAATATATCTGAAAATGAACAAGGAAAGTTTAGTAAACACATAAGAGAAAGAACGAAGCATTCTCTAGTTATGTGAAAAGTTCTAATAAATATTACTTAGTTTGAATAATGAAAAATAACTGTGAGAAAGGATTGCAGAAGCTTTTAATTCAATACAAACAGTTGAGTTTTTGAGAAAATATAACGATCAATGAAGTAATGCGAAGAAGTAGAACACGTGGAAAACATTTTAAGATTTAATATGTCATATTAAATACTTTCTCGTGAATGTATGCTTTGAAATGCTTGCTTTTCAATAAATTCATGACTAACTATTTTCTCTTTACTTTGAAGTAATAATTAAATAAAAAGTATTCTAAATGATATATTAAATATTTAAAATGTTTTTTTATTTGTTTTGCTTCTATATATCAAATCATTGATCAGCACACCTTCACAAATATTCCAGCAGTATTGAATTAAAAGATTCTGCTATCCTTTCTCATAGTTATTCTTCATAATTTCTTTCATTCCTCTAACTAAATCTTTCACATGATTCTAAATATTTAATTATCTAAACGTCAATGTATTGCATTAATTTCAATCCTTTTCGCATAATTTTTGATTAATATAACTTTAGTTCTCTGTACAATTTCGCTATTTTATATTTGGGAAAAGAGTCAAGACTGCTTACATAGATACAATCATATCGATAAAGAGTGTGACAATAATTTATAACTGGCAATAACAGCTTACTGGAAACTACTTTCACTAAGTGTTAGTTACAGAACAAATCTTGTGACAGTTAACATATAGGTTTGTACCAGAAACTTTTTCGGACATAAAAAAGGAGGTTTAAGTTCACATCAATTGTATAATCCCTGAAATAGAAGCTGATAGCTAATCATTATCCTACTGAGTAATTTTTGATAAATTTACTACGAATATTCTCCACAATATTAAGGCACAAAATGAGGGATTTTACATAACAAATTTTTGTACATCGATATTTTCAATGAAATAAAAAATACACGAGATGATTTTTTTTGGGTTTTAAGCAAATATTAACTAATTAATTGAATCATTTAATTTATAATTACTCTTCTTCCAATTATTTAAATAGTAAGTGTTAGACTTAATTATTATAGAAGTAATATTAACAGTTATTTTAGAAAGACTATAGAAGAAGCAAGGATAAAAATGGGCTTTTAGTGTAAAGAAGCAAGTACAAGAAAAGCTGATAACCACTACTACGATAAAAGAAACTGTCTTAGTCAGGTATTTTGTAAAAAAAACTATCTTTGAATTAATCTTAATTAAAAGACTAAGTTTGTATGACCTTTCAACCTTTATTAATGTCTTATTGAAGTTTAAGTCTAATGAATTAATTTTCTGGTAATTTCTTAAATTGATAAACATAAATTTTATATATCATACCAAATGAAACATAAATTAACCCGTTAATTCATGAAGTATTGTTTATGCAAATTTTCAATTATTTGAACTTTAAATATAAATTAAAATGATAGATTTAGCAGTTTGTAAAGAATAAGTATCCAAATATTTAAAAATTTCTTTATACATGTATAATAAAATATATCTAAAAATATTAAATAAATTTATTATAATTTGTATTTTAAAGTATTAATTCTTGGTCTTACCTGTAAATAAAGAAAGAAGATATGCAAAGGAAAACAATAACGCAGGCTAAAACAGCACTAACAATAGCATATTGAGGAATTTCTACACAAATAAAAAGTTTATTTCAACATCTTTATAAAGCTTTAAAAATAAATCATTTTATTTATTAAAATTTTCTTTATTCAAGTATTCAAATAAGAATAATTTTTTATTTTATTTTATCAAATAATTTATTTATAACATATAAAAAAAATTATTTATTTTAAATAAATGTACCATCATCGGGACATTTTGAACCATCAAAACCACAGTTTGGAGTGTCGGGAGGAGGTTGTAATCGATTTCCAGCCCAATGGATTTTTTTATTTGGTAAGTTTACGAACTGTTTACTGACACCGTAATAGTTAGCAACTACCTAAAAAAATAATAATATTTATAAACATTTTACAGGTTTAAATAATCATTTATAATTTCACAAAAAAAATTTAGAAAAAATTAGGGAATTTTTTACCAAAATACAAGCCGGCCCTTAAGTCAGTTAACCGAAGTTTCTATTTTTTTTTAAAAAATACTTACTAAAAAGTCGGTTAAACCCGAAGTATTTTATTAATATATCCAAGTTTACTGAGTTTTGGGTCATTCTGTATATAATTAAAACAATAAAATTGTTTTTTTTTCTACGTAAAATACGAAAAACACCTTTTAATTTCCTGTAGAATGAAAATAATATAATAGGATTCTGTTTATGATTAGTTAGACACCTCCAAAAATGGAGAGAAAATAATAAATTCAAAACAGTTATTCTAGATTGGCGAATAGATATAAAAAAAAAATATATTCATTCAAAGTGTAGAAAGGAAGCACTTTAGATGAATAGGAAGTTAGACCTTAATGCCATTAATTCTTATCAAAGATATAACTAGAAAACTTTTTATCTGTTAATGGAATGTCTTGAACAATCGCGTCTAGCTTTTATCAGATGGGAAATTTATCAAGTCTTGAGAACTTTCTGATAAATGAAAAACATTATTTCCTCTTTTAAAAAAAAGGTAATTTTATATTAGAGTAAATTGAAAAAAGTCAAAGAAAATATCAAGTAATAAATACACATTAAGAATTATATATAAATGGCATATCTTTTTATATTAATAACATGTTTTTTAACATCTTTCTTTTTATATAAAAGAAGATTTATATCGAACAGGACATAATGTTTGTTTCTGAAAGGATGTTAGATACTTTCTTATATTTTATTTAAGAAATTTCGAATCCCATAATGTATTTTTATAGTCTTAATCTATGTTATATGAACGTATATAAATAAAAAAAAATATTATTTGTATGAATAACGATAGAGAATATTTCAAGATATGTATGAAACAGCCTACGACAGTTCTTTTTAAGTACAAACTTTGATAGATTTTTATTAAAGTTTTATGTCATAAAAATTTCTTTTCTGTAAACTTTCCTTTAGAAAACTTAACTAATAAACTAGCCCGTAGATAATAAAGATGATTTAATAAATCCATCATCTTTATTTATCTTTGTAATAATTGAAAAAACTCGACGTCCAACATTTCTGAAGAATTAGATAAACTAATATATATTTATTTTAAATTTTTTAATTTCATATAATTTCGTATTTTAAACTATTGCAGGGGCGTAATTAGAAATTTTAGACCACTTACCTTATTTTGTTTAAGAGACTAAGATTTCTAATTATGCAATTAAAATGGACCGCGTAAAAAAGACCCCCCCTATAACACCGTTGATTATTCCGTTTTATATGAATTTCATGTTGTACGAGTCACTTAAATTTTACAAATATGTGAGCCGTTCACAGCCCGGCACACGTATTTGTAAAATCTAAGTGATTCGTACAACATGGAATTCATATAAAACGGAAAAATCAACAATCTTATAGGGGGGTCGACTGGTACTGTACTCGTCACAATGAAGACTGAGTGGGCCCTAGAGCAGCAATTAATACATTTTTACTTACTCCAGAAAATTAAATCACGGCTATGTATCAATAGATCAGAAGTCAGTTGTCAATCAGTACTTCAATTTACATTCGTATAACGTCTTATGTACGCAAAAGAAACCCCCGATCTACAGTCCTGTTAATGGGCTCTATGGGCACTACTATACATGAATTAAGAGTGGATAGGAAAACGGTAAAACAGTATATTTGCATTGAAAATTCCGTATTGTGTTCAAATTTTACAAATGTCAGTTTAAACAAATATATACAAATTGTAGCTCATTTTAAACATCACCACCGAGGGATCTAACAAATTAACAAACAAAAGTATTGCATAATGTTTAACTAAATATTTATTTATAAATACTAATCTTAACCCTAAATACACAAATTCTGGAAATGAAATTTGATGTAATACATTTATTGATTTTTGACCATTAATATTTTTAATACAAGTTTCACTTAATCGAAAATTGCATTGTTGCGGAGTGATAAGGATAATTGGATAAAATAAACTGTAAAAATGGTATAAATTTATTTAAAATTAATCGTTCCTATTCAGAACAAACAAAAAAATATTAATGTTTCTTATATAGGCCTAATTTTAAAAAATTCTCATATTTATACTGTTCCTAGAAACGGTGCTTGAGGCCTGGTCTGGGTTTTCGTTATGTAATAGACCCTTCAGCGACGTTTATACGCCCTTAACAGTAGTTATGCCACTGATTACAGCATTACATATTTCGTTTCACACATTTGAGTATTTCACTTACTTGAAGAAGCGCCTCATTAGAAAAATATTTTCTTTTAATATTATGAAGAATAGGCATTAAAGTAATTTTTCTCTCTATTTAAGTGGAAGTTACGTTGTGACAATAATAGCTTTAATTAAAATGAATACTATCTTCAATAATCTTTGACTTCTTAAAACTGTAAAGGCTAATAATTTAAGATAAATCACTTACAGAGTCATTACTATGTACAGTACCATGTTCAATTTTAAGTTGTTTATTTTTTAAAGCTTTAATTATTTAGTTTTAAATATTAATAATTTGTGTGCAGTTAGATTTTAAGAATTTTATTAACAATTTTCTTTCAAAAATTATAAGGAGTATCCACTTAAACATTTGTCCACAAGCAAAAGAGATCTTTCCTTCATTGCCTGAGTGTATATGTAATCTGTTGTAGTGCTAAAATAAACGAAGGGAATCAATTTAAGACAAGTTAGCACAACATAAAAATAATCTCCGACTGTAAAGAATAAAGACAACATTGCAGAAATTGATACAAAAAATAAGCTATTTTGTTATAAAAAAAAACATGTTAACAATACATATGTTGAGAAATTAAAAGAACCTTTACTGAATTCTCAATGGGAAATTAGAACCCATCAGAGAGAATGGAGTGTAAATTATAAGATTAAAGAGAGTGTTATTCTTTTTTTAAATGAAATTGGTGATTATATTAAATAAAATTAGCGGAGTGATAACTAAATTATTGTAAAATTAAAAGAATAATTTAAAAAGAAGGCATTCTTCACAGATAGAAACAAAGAAAAGTCAATATTTCAACCCACCTTTCAATAAACAAAGATATTAAAATATTGAATTCTTTATAATCTATATCGTAATTTGATTAATATAAGTTTTATTTAGGAGAGTTTGAAGCTAAGATAAGAATTTAAATATTTCTGAAATTATAGAAAATGTTTAAACTGTAAATTATAAAGCTTACATTCAAACAATTTAATTCTCTATAATTCTATTCACGTAAAATGAGATCTAGAGCAGCATTATGAGAAAGTCTTATGGAAAGAGTTAGAGATTGTAAGAGCAGCGTACAGTACAATGTAAATTCGAAGTGAGAAGGAGAAAAATGGAAACACAAACTGCTATTGTAACACATTTATTGATGTATCTACATCTGAAAACAAACAGAATGTGCGAGGAATAAAGATGAAATGTACTGGAAAAGGAAACTGAGAATTGTCCATCCAAACACTCAACTATTCGATAACATTCAAGTAAGGATATTCGATAGAGAACCATTTTTCTCCGATGTGATACAAGAAATAATAATAAATGTATGAAAATAAATTTATTTTATATTATCTCAATCAACCATGAACACCTTATTTTGTTTAAGAGACTAAGATTTCTAATTATGCAATTAAAATGGACCGCGTAAAAAAGACCCCCCCTATAACACCGTTGATTATTCCGTTTTATATGAATTTCATGTTGTACGAGTCACTTAAATTTTACAAATATGTGAGCCGTTCACAGCCCGGCACACGTATTTGTAAAATCTAAGTGACTCGTACAACATGGAATTCATATAAAACGGAAAAATCAACAATCTTATAGGGGGGGTCGACTGGTACTGTACTCGTCACAATGAAGACTGAGTGGGCCCTAGAGCAGCAATTAATACATTTTTACTTACTCCAGAAAATTAAATCACGGCTATGTATCAATAGATCAGAAGTCAGTTGTCAATCAGTACTTCAATTTACATTCGTATAACGTCTTATGTACGCAAAAGAAACCCCCGATCTACAGTCCTGTTAATGGGCTCTATGGGCACTACTATACATGAATTAAGAGTGGATAGGAAAACGGTAAAACAGTATATTTGCATTGAAAATTCCGTATTGTGTTCAAATTTTACAAATGTCAGTTTAAACAAATATATACAAATTGTAGCTCATTTTAAACATCACCACCGAGGGATCTAACAAATTAACAAACAAAAGTATTGCATAATGTTTAACTAAATATTTATTTATAAATACTAATCTTAACCCTAAATACACAAATTCTGGAAATGAAATTTGATGTAATACATTTATTGATTTTTGACCATTAATATTTTTAATACAAGTTTCACTTAATCGAAAATTGCATTGTTGCGGAGTGATAAGGATAATTGGATAAAATAAACTGTAAAAATGGTATAAATTTATTTAAAATTAATCGTTCCTATTCAGAACAAACAAAAAAATATTAATGTTTCTTATATAGGCCTAATTTTAAAAAATTCTCATATTTATACTGTTCCTAGAAACGGTGCTTGAGGCCTGGTCTGGGTTTTCGTTATGTAATAGACCCTTCAGCGACGTTTATACGCCCTTAACAGTAGTTATGCCACTGATTACAGCATTACATATTTCGTTTCACACATTTGAGTATTTCACTTACTTGAAGAAGCGCCTCATTAGAAAAATATTTTCTTTTAATATTATGAAGAATAGGCATTAAAGTAATTTTTCTCTCTATTTAAGTGGAAGTTACGTTGTGACAATAATAGCTTTAATTAAAATGAATACTATCTTCAATAATCTTTGACTTCTTAAAACTGTAAAGGCTAATAATTTAAGATAAATCACTTACAGAGTCATTACTATGTACAGTACCATGTTCAATTTTAAG